GTGATAAATAGCAGAATGGAAAGGAGGCATGGGAACTGAAATTACATTGGAAGGGAGTAAGAATACCTTCCACAGATGAACCTTTTCATGACCTTTCTTCACCCTCTCCACTAAAAACTATTACCAAAATTAAAACAACAAAACACACACACACCCCAACAACAATACACCACCCCAAATGCACAAATTGTCTGTTGGTTTCTCACTTACCCTCAATAAAGTCAACTGCAAGCAGAGTATAAGAATATCAGAGTTAACCACCATCAGAAATTCTTTCACCAACAGAATAAAGAACAATGGAGAGCAAAACAGGCACCTCTACCCTTAGAGTACCAGCAATAGGAACTACTTTACATGTATTTTGAAAAGTCTCTGGTTCAAAGAGTAACAGTGTGTTAAAAAAAAAAAAAAAAATCACTTTTCAAAAGTCACAGATGCCAGACACACAACTTCCCTTCTTCTCATCCTTCCCATATGGATGAACAATATGCTTTAACATATGAACTCTTCCCTTAAGATATTATTTATAATCAGTGTTACAAAAAACACAGACCATCTACCATACTATATACTGATTTATAATCATTTTGTGCTTACAAACAAGTCCAAATATATAATCAGCAGGTAAGTCACTTACCACTCCTGTTACTCAGACTGAAAAAAAATAAAATCGCCAGAGTATTTGCCTGTAGTTACCACAGGGTGGTATCCATGCTAAGTTTCTCCTATGCTGTAATGGAGTTACTATGTTAAATTGCTTCTGACTGATAAGGAGATGCCATTTTAGTTAACTGAAGAGAAAGGAATGTCAACTTTCTTTGGCAATACAGAACTGAGGTTGATGTAATCTTTGTACACCTTCTGGAAACCTAAACACTGGGGGAATGATTTAGGCTATTACTCAATAAGGCCTTACTCTTGGAAGAAATTGGCATGTTCCTTCTTTGTTTTCTCAGTTCAGCAACTGTTAGACTGGTGTCTCCTCTTCTAAAAGCCTGGCAACTCACAGCTTGGCTTTGTAAACAGTGACACGAGCCTTTGTATTTTAAAAGCTGTCTAGGATCACAGTCAAGGTGAGAAAGCAGTGTACATTAGCAGCAAGCGTGTCACGTGTGTTTGCTCTGTGGTAGCATATTCATATTGAGGCGAAGTGCTAGCTCCAAATGCTCCAAGAGTCACAGCCATCAGACCCAGTTGCTTCCACAACACCACAGCTGGGGAAGATGCAGCAGGGCACATAAGTAAACCAAGAATGCAACTGAAACGCAGCTGCTATAGGGCACTCCTCCCTTTCAGCACATAGATCCTTCTAATGGCTTAGGTTTTGTTTCATGATGTCATATGGGTTTGCATAAAAAGGGTCTTAAAAGAACAAAACTTCAAAACCAGTAAAACAATAGGAAAAAATATACATTTCAGTCAAGAATGTTCAGTTCAGAGTTTATTCACTGACATACTCTGGATGCAGATTTCACTCTGGATACAAATTGCTCCCAGCAAGTCAGATGTTCAACCCTACATTTTCTCCCCCACTATGCTCCATTTCACTATTTGTAGCTACTTTAGCTCTGTGTGATTGAATGATTTGACCCTAACAATCTTGTCTTAAAAACCGTCATGATGACTACTCAACTGATATCAGATGCATAGTAGAACAATATTTAAGACACTGTAGGCTATTTTCACAAGTAACCTGCAACTTTAAATCCATATTCAAACAAAATTTCCATGACATACAACACACACTTTAAGAACATAACTAAATCCTAGTATTTATTAAAATGGGTTACTTTTTTATTACATTTTTTATAGTATCAAAACTAGACCACAGAAAGCATACGCGTTGCCTTCTGTGTTTTTCTCACACATAGGTGAAATATTTATACATCTTATCAAAATATCAGAACAGCCACCTGCATTCCAGAACACAAGCATGAGCAGAGTGAATGTAACTCCTAACAATTTCATTACTAGGACATCCTCCTACACTTACTGTTGCTTTCACACTGAATAGAGACTTGTACAGAAAGACACTGTAAGGAGTTGATACCGCTTTTTTGTTTGTTTGTTTTAAGAGGAATCAAGGTATTACTGTGTTGTGTTTTTTGTTGTTGTTGCTTTGTTTTTCCTGATGGCTTTTGAAGACATAGGCATAGAAAAATAAAGTAAAATAAAATAAAAAGTTATCAACACAGATTCAGAGTACAGCAGACAAATAAAAATTCTTCAGTATAGACTAGGAGCAAGTATCTTGCCAGAATGAAAAAAATGCATTAAAAAAAATAATACAAAAGGGCTTGTTCTTCTGAAAAGTACTTCAATAAAATATGTAACAGATTGCACCAAATGGAATTTCAAAGACAACACATGTTCCTCTGAAGTATACTTATGAGACATAATTAAAGAAATCCTTGCCAAGTTGTATTCAGAAAGAAAAATTATGAAGCCTCCCAGGAAGCAGTTACCCACCCAGCCTTTTATAGTTTGCATATCTTGGAAGCCATTTACAGACTCCATTCCACCCTTATCAGACACAATATGTTCCAGTGACAATACTCCAAAAATGCCCTGAATCTAAAACCAACTGGTTAATATAGGTGCCAGAATTATGTATGAGCCTAATACCAACACCTGAGTTATCCTAATCAGCATTGCATTTCAACTTAATTTCCAACCTTTTCTTAAGGTGCTCTTTCCATTTGCACTGAAGCACAGATAACCCTAATGCCACCGGTCCCTTAACTGAACCAAGTCCTGCAGAAGTGCCTTTGGTTCTCACTAGGTTTGGCAGAGTGATTTTCAGTACCACAAAAGAAAAGAACAGGTAAGTAGCATTTTTTAAGACATCATAAAGAACAAGAAACAACAACAAAAAAACACACAAAACTTTTAACTCACCTATTACTGCCACGTCCCACTTGAGACTGGTAAACAGCAATAATAGGAAATAAAGGTTTGGGAGGTTTGGGAAAGCTGGTGACCTGTTACACTCTTGCTCTTAATGCCTGAAGCCTTTGATAGATGACTGATACATGGCATACGTTTCTGAGGCCAGTGCCTTCTAAAACAAAAAACTTACTTTGAAATGCTTATCCTATTACAAAACAGAGCACAATGCCTAGAACAAACAGTGCTCCATCTGTTTTCCTGTGTTCTGTTTTCTTCTTCATCTGACAAACGATGAAGGAGGTTAAACAATTAATTTGCCCACTCCATCATGAAGAAATTCCCTTTCTTGCCACTCCTGCACCAGGACAGGCACACCAGTTTTAGCCCACTCCATTTAGATAAACCACTGTGCTTGCCCAGTTCAAAGGGCTCCACACCAGCAGGGTCGCTGCACTTAGACTGGGTATCTCAAGAGAAGAAGCCTTCCAAAACCAGTGGCTAACTCTGCATCTTTTCCCAAATAGTAGTTTTGTACAAAAGAAGCCTCAGCAGCACATGTCTAAAAGGCTTTTTTTTAGGAAATCAAAGGGAAGAACAATGCAGCCTGGCCTTGGAGTTCATGGACAGAAACCAGCAAATGCTGGAAATCTTCCCTTTGTAATCCATTATGCTTGGCAGCCTCGAGTGCGACACCAAGTGCTGCACATTATCCACACTGAGCCTGTTTCTCAGAACCGACACTAGATAAAAGGACAGCAGAGAGAAGTGATGGGAAGCAGCAACAACATACTGGAAAAGCATTTGAACTTTTGCAGAACTGGTGCTTCGCTGAACTAACTGAATTTGAGTCATCATCTGAAATAACTGAAGCTCATACTGCCTCCACACGTTGTTCTCTCAACTCTGATTTTACCTTTTTTCTCAGAAAAGAACACATGAGCTCTATTAACACCCCCTGAAGTCTCTATGTCGCCCATCAGTTTGTTCTGAGCCACACCTGAGACCTTCAGTTTTATTCTTTGACTTATTAGTAAATCTAAGCCATGTGAAAAATGAAGTGTCCCTCCTCCTTCCTGCTTTGTAAATACTGCAAGAGAAAGAAAAAGGTTGTTATCACACATTTCCTCTGTGTTGTAGGGACTCCTGTATACAGCCACATCGCACACACACATTCTCTCCCTGTGACACCTCACAGTATCCCCCTCCCACACAAGACACAACACATACAGCTGCTCTCAGTGGACAAAGCTTCAAGAGCCTGACTAAAACCTTCCATTCACGTGGGATAAATTTAGCCAAACCAGGCAAAATCTACAGAGTCGGAAATTCAAAAACCATTGCTGTATATTCTCGCACTTGTTGCCAGCACTGAGTGTTAAGCTCTCAAGGACACTCTGAACATGTCTACTAGAAAATAAAGTATTTCATTTCTAGGAAAATTAAACCATCTTTTATTTTAGTGAAACACATTTCTAGTATTTGAAAGATGTTCTTGAATTCAGGGCATCCATGCAGAAACCCAGTTTATATATTCATTTCCTTGAGGCTAATTGAACATTTGAGAGAATGAAAAAGAATTCTGGGATTTTAAACGTAGTACTAAAATCAACCAGGAGAATTTGGATGTACTTTTAGAGTAAGCACTCAGATTTCATTACACCGTATTTCCATTACATTTTAAGCTTTCTACAAGCTTATGAAAATCGAATGGCAGCTTTCCAAGAAATACTGTAGTTCTAAATGTTATTAAATTTGAACTACGAATAGGCAATACATTGCAAATTAGACTTATATGAAATGATTACCAGGACAAAATCACTAGCCTTCTTGCAGTTCCCTACATCAGTACATAGCCTGGGATTGAAGTTTGAGGTCTATTAGCTTTCTTACTCTTTTGCTTTGAAGCAATGGACACATCACAATCTTCCATTGACAGAAGGCCACACAAGCAAGCAATTTTCTTTCTTTTAACACATTTTGCCTTCTAATTAACTGTGCCACCTCACAAAACTGATCATTCTCCCAAGACATTTAGAAAATCTTCACTGAGGGCCATATAAATATCTACACCAGAGAATTATTTTTTAAAGAACAATAGTAAAAAGGGTTACCTTATCCTTTTATCTTCAACTTTTTTCAGATATTCATCTCTCTTCAATACTCCCAATATCATTTCCCTTTCGTGTTCCAACAAAAATGACAGATTGATGATCTCTAAGTGCTTCGCCATGATTTTTCAATGAGTCCTCTGTCCAAGCAATTCAATTCCAGTGAATTATTTGCACAAGTCCAAAGGCACTTTTGTGTCCCAGTTACAAGATTCACAGTCAAGGTATTTTGAAAAATGCTTCTTTAAGTTAACCAGGTGTCAAAGCTGTATTGTTCTGCTTTCCAACTACACAAGAAATAAAGGTTTCCCCTTTGCTTCTTCCTCAAAAAAAGCCAGTAATTTTCCTGGTTGCCTTGTGTCCTGGCCGATGCTTTCTGGCACGCCGCAGGCCTTCAGTCTGTATTCAGAAACAGCTGCAGAATCAACTTCCTGGCATAACTGTAGTTCGGAGCCACAAAACAGCTGGGCATAATTATTTCAAACTATCTGAAAAGCAAAAGAAACAAATGGAAATCATCTTGACATTACCATTGTGGTCTGACTTAAGGCTTAATCAAATACTAGTTTGAAAACCACCAAAGAAGGAATGCCTACTTGCACTGTCAGGTTGTCTCAGGGAATGCATATATCTCCTGTTTGCTATGTTGTTGTTTACTTACTCTAATGGATGATTATCATACTCCCACGAGGGCTCTGTCTAGTGCAATACAATTTACAATTACTTCCCTACTGCAATACACTTAAATGACTGTATTCACCTTGTAATACTTACATCCTAATAGTAATAAGCATCAGGGGTGGAGGGGATCTATTCATTCTTCTGAAATCACGTTAAGAGAAAAGTAACAATTAAGAAGTGGAGAGACTTCAAAAGGCTGCACTGAAGGTAAGACTCGCCCAACAACATGTATTTATCTGCGTCTCAGCAAGTCACCCATCACGCTCAATTCACAGTCAATTCAGAGAAACAGGAAGGAGTGATTTATTTACACTCTTAAGGAGTGATTTATCCACCTACTGTAGACATTTAGTTTCAGATTACAAGTCCTAGAAGAGCCCACTAAATACAACAAAACCCAAGAACTTGTTAATGTGCAGCCACCCTGAAAGTAAGACAAACTTCACTCTGTATGTTTTGTCATATCTAAGCACAAATCAACTTCCAAGTGAAAATAGAAGAGGCACCCTACCCTGCAGTGGAGCATTGAGCTTGACCCTCTTTGGAAAAAGTCACCAGGAAGCTGCTTGAAAAAGCATCTAAAACTTCTGGTCAACTAGCTGGAACATCCATCCCTCACAGTCTTGTAAGTACACATCAAGTTTCATATTGAAACAATGCATGACCTCCAAGATAAATAATAAAAAGTAGTTATGTGAATAGATACTGTACTTTGAAAAGCACATGCCTGTTACGTGTAATATATAAACATTAAACACATTTACACTGAAAAAAAAGTGTATCTACATTATCGTAAGAGCAAATACGACTATATGCAAATATAGGTGCACATGTGCTATGGATAATGCAGGTTTATTTTCTGTTACGAATGCTGGAAGAACTAAAACAGCTTTTAAGAATTTTGTCATTTACAGGAGAGTGCCCAACCACAATGCTCAATACTGTCACAAAACCTGTTAGCGTTCTTCTTCATTTTCCAATACATGTTTATTTTAATGGCAGCCCTTGCTTCCTTAGCTTTCAACAGTTTGGAAAGCGTTTGACAAAGATAAATAGCACAGAGAATTGGAGCAACAGTGCTCACATTCTAAAAGGGCTATGGGCATCTGACAAAATATCCTTCAGTTTTCATTCATAACAACTGCTAAAGAAGCAAATGTAGTTGCCAGTGGCATTAAATTTAATTCTTGTGTTGTTTTTCATTAATATACCTCAGAATCTTGGTTTTGATTAACTTTATTCCCCAGGTTAGCCGAGTACTTAATAGCAAAGGATACCAGAAGTCAAAATTTAAGTTTAAATGAGATCCTTATGGTATTCTTGCATGGGAATTTCTTTGGATATTTCCTAAAGTCTATTTCAATTAACCTTAATTTTTTTCAAATGAATGAAGATGATAATAAATTATACACAAATGGCAATGTATGTATTTTCATCTAGTTTTTCTTTTATTTCTCCCCCAGTACAATATTAACATAAATCTTGGGATTATTTCAGCAATACAGAACCATACTGGTGTCACTTCAATCAGGTAAGAAAATGGGACAGAAAAGTCACGGAACAAGCAGCACACAGTCAATGCAAGTCAGAAATACAACTCAGGGCTGCCAGTTATGGACTAACTGTCATTGAAAAGTGGGAAGCAAACATGAACCACAGAGTGCTAACTCTGGCTAGATTGTAATATTAAACATATAAATGTCATGGAATGAACAACACGTGGAAAAATTCTACTTTGTTTCTCTACGCTTATTTTTGAACAGAAAGGAAAAAAAAAAAAAAAAAAGGACCATTATGCTTATCCTTAGATCCTTGAAAATAGCATTTTTTCAATACCATCCCTAAGGCCAAGTTATTTGTAAGTAAAGGGAGAAATCCAACGTGTAACTTATACTATCTAGAAGGGTAAGTTTTTTGTTTTTTGAACTGCCTAACAAAGGGCTGGTGAAAGCAGTACTTTCATCCCAATCAGGTCTTAACATCACAGTGGGACAGGGGGCATGAGGCTTTGGCACAGAATGGAGACCCAAGCTCAGTAGTCAGAGAAGAAGCTAAGTTGTTTGATGGGTCAGGGTGCTCTGAATTTCTGATTGCAAGCTTGCCTTGCAGCTGTAGAGTAGGTGGCATATAGCATAATTCCAACAATTTTATTTTTTTGATGGAGAAAAACAAGTTCTATTGGAAAATGGAAAACCAACAGGTTAAGGGTAAGGAATGAGCAATGCAATTAGAATCTGAGTGCAACAAAAGTGTTAAAAATTGCTTCTGATAGCACCATTTCTATCATGATGATACCCTGCAGGTAACTTTTTTCTTTTTTTTTTTTCCCAGGAAAACAATGCAGCAGTATGACAAGCAGGCTGATAAGAACAGTATAACTTGTAAGATATATTCAGGTATTGGGAATTTGGGGTTGAGAAAAAACAGCTCCAAAAGACCCTTCTGACTGCAACTTACCTTGATATCTGGACATATTCTCTTAGCTTTTTTTATTTAACTCTAAAGAAGCTAGAACTCTTAGAATATCTGGAAGCCTCAAAAATTTGCTCTGACTAAGCATAAAGCCTATCCTTGGATATCCTGGGTGATCTTGCCCTCAACAGGGGGAGGCAGGTTTTTCCAAAATATGAGGTCCAAAATTACTAAGGTGACATGCCACAACTGTGTATTGGGCTTATGCAGCAAGGTTTTGGTAGGGGGTGGGCTGCAAGGGCAGCCTCTGTGAGAAGAGATAAGGACAATAATTGGGAGAGGTAACAGGCAAAACATGGAACGGACATTATTAGAGAATATAGTAATGGTGAAGAATTTGTGTTGTAACATGGTGAAGGGATGGTAGGTGGAACGTGTAGGAATTGTCCACCTTTGTCAGTGTTATGATGTTATGTTCATTTTGGTGTGGGGAATTTTGTTGTTGTTGTTGTAAGAGAAATTTGTGAAGACTGCATGAAGAATGCCAGTGAATGTACTTTTTAATGATAATTGCTAAATGTGTTTTTCACAGAGGTGAGGGGTGTATAATACAGTGCTTACACAGCAAGGATATGGTAGCAGGGTGGTTGTGGGGTGGCCTCTGTGAGCAGAGCCCAGCAGCTGCCCCATGACAGACCAGAGCCAGCTCCAGCCGGCTCCAAAAGGGACCCCATGGGGAGCAGGGGCAGAGAGTGACCATGAAGGAGCAGCGAAGATGAAGCGGCAGGGACTGACTGCAGCCCCCATTCACCATTCCTCTGTGGTGCTCAGGGGGAGGACATAAAAGAGATTAGATAGGGGTGAAGGTGTTTTCAGTTGGTTTTCTTTGTTTCTTGTTTCTCTAGCTTGTTAGTAATAGGCAAAAAAATTAAATTAATCTCCCTATGCTGAGTCTGTTTTGCCCCTGACAGTACCTGGACAGTGATCTCCGTGTCCTTATCTCCATGCTTGGACCCCTTTTTCATCATATTTTCTCCCCCAGTTCCTTTGAGGAGGGGGCGTGAGAAAGTGGTGTGCTGGAGTTCAGTTAGTCATCAGTGTGAAAACACCACAAACTTAGAATCCAAAGTTAGTTCATTTGTCACTTGGAGCATAGGGTCAAAGATGTAGACTTTGGAGCAGAACTAAGCACCAGTAAGGGCGAGGGAAAGCAGTTGCTGGTAGAAAAAGCTGGTAGGATCTGATGTCCACGTGAATGGAGACAGTTCAGAGCCACAGATCAACAGGCAGTCACTGCAAACCCCAGCCATGGTAAGGAACAGGCGGGGAAGTGGCTGGAAGTGCCAGTGGTTTGAAGCCATGGAGCACAGAAACACACAGCAAGAGGGCAGTGAAGGAGAGACAGGAATAACGATGGCTATTGCCCACAGCCACAACATAACACTGCAGTTGATCTCCAGAGTACCACCGCCTGCCATGCCAAATGAGATTGGCTTACAAACACTAGAGCAGACTCAGTGGACAGTAGCCTAGTCAACAAAATCCCGGTATCTGGGAATAATAGGTCCTTCAGTCCCATAAGCTAATTTTTTTCCCCACTTCTTAGTTAACGTTACAATGGTAAGGACATCATTAAAAAATGTGTTGAAATTCAAACACTGTCTTCCTTGCTCCATGGACTGTAACATGAGGTGCCATGCATGGGTACATGCAATACATCACCTACTTTACAGCAGCAAATTTTGGTTTAGCTCCCATGCCTTCCGTGGTTTTGTTTAACAAATACATATAACAGAAAAGAATAGCAATTATGGAAACAACAGGGACACTTTCTCCATAAAACAGGAAGCTAATAAATAAATGAGATACTGTTTCTAGCACTTAAGACTTCGCTGCTTCAGACAACACATGACTGGAGACCGGGCCTGTGTTTCACATTAAGATTTAACAAAAAATATGGCTCTTCTCCTGCACTGTCTTTTGTTCTCTCTCAGAATAAATCAGCTGACAAAAGCTGAATATATGAACCAACCTAGGGCTTGAAAGCTTGAAAACAGAACAAACCAGCTAACTTTCAGAAACTGACAATGTCTAAGTACGTCCTCCTTTTAACAGACCTTGATGTTTTATTAAGCAGCCCTGTGGATAATTAGGAACTGTCATTGTTTTCATCCTAAGCCAAATGAAGATCTCACACAGCAGAGCATTTGGTGAATGCTAAATCACAAATTAGGGCACATGGACAAATGCAAAGCCCCCTAATGGGATGGGGTTAATTTTCATCTACATCTAATTCTGGCCAGAGCATTGATTTCTTCACTCAGGGTAAGGCAATGACCCACAGCTGGACTTGCAGTAGAACTAGTGAAGGATTAGTGAGGAATGAAGTGGCACAATGGCAAGACTATATATAACCAAGCCTTTTGAGTATGGGTTTGTTTTCCCTTGCCTCATGGAAAGTAGGTAAAGAACCCCTCAAGCGGACTATTTGTGTACTTTTCCCACTTCTGTGATCCCTGTGGGAATGGTATCTCTAGAATAGAGACTCCCTTTCTGAAGCTACTGTTGAGGGAAAATGGATTAGAAACAATACTTGTTAGCACAATGATTGCAAAGTTAGACACAGCTGAACAATAAGGAGCACTTTATTCTCCTGAATCCTATGTATCCACTGTATACTCTCTCTATCCCTACTGTATGTGGGTACCAAGCCTATCCAGAGAGCATTTGTTCACTCCCCCAAAGCAAAAGAATTGGTTAAGGCTTCTTTAAAAAGAGGAGAAACCCCAGCATTGCTGCATGGAAGAATGTGCCATTTCCTCTTGCTAATGGTTAGCACAGCTGCTTGTGACAACTAGAAATGTGGTACCCCTGAAACCGAGTCTCTGTGAGGGATGCTGATAAAACCAGAGGAAATACAGTGAACCCACTGCAGCCTGCTACACCGCTTGTCACTGCGGGCGCAGGTGACTGCTACTGTCCCTGCTGCACGTGCCCTGAATGCAGCAGGTCGGCAGCTCCCTGACACCTTCCCTTCCCCATCTCTCCCGTGATGGGGAAGCATCCTGCCCCAGGGAGCGAGGCAGAGCTGGGAGGCAGCGAGACGAAAGGTGAGGACTCATCCTCTTTTCTTCAGTGGTGTTATTATCAAGAGGCTTGCTGCAGGAAATTACTCCTGCCACCAAGCCATTATGTTTACTTAGTCAGAAGCTGGTACGAGGAACCATTTCGTGACTCAGCAACAGGGGCTGTGTTTTCCATGCGTACTGCAGCAGCAGGGGGACCATGGCATCGCCTCATGATGCTCCACTGAGGCAGCATCACCTGCTGCTGGCTGGTGGGGATTCCTTTGCCAGCAGAGAACGTGGTCTGTACGCTGCAGGTAGTTACTAGCACAGGAGTATCTGGGACAAGCACAAACAGGATTTCCATTCTGGCAAAGGAAACTCTAACCAACAGCAGCCGAACACAGCACAGGTGTGGTGGGCAGTAACTGACCAGATGACAAGTTGAGACGCGTTGTCTCTCATAAAGGATGCCGACCACAAATTGAATCGAAGTTGCCCAAAGCATGATGGCAAAGCTGGAGGAGGTATGATGGCACTGCTGCCTCTTGCACATCTTCAAGAGGCCACAACTCCAATCCCAGTGCGGCCACGATGTAACACAACGTGTTGGACTCTGATCTGATGTACCCAGCTTTGGCAAACAAATGAAAAGGGGCACATTTCACCTGTGCTGCTTAAAACACTCCAGTCCTACAGAGCCTGAGGTCATTCACACAGGGGTCTGAAATGAAAGACAAAACTAAGATGGCATTACTAGGTAGCCATCAATGCTCGATGTCCAGTTCTCTCTTCTGAGGCCCCCAGCTGCATACAAATCTCTGATGGGAGAAGGATGGGAAGGACTGTTACTAACAAGTTTCATAAAATGGCAGAAAGACATAAAAGGCATTTCATATCAAGAACCTTTAGCAAAGGTAAAACTTACCACGTTCAGAGGGTAATGCCCGACTCATATCTCTTACTGTTCTAACAAAAGCAGACTGCTTCTAGCACGCCATATACAGGAGCAAGAAAAACCAGCTACCCTTCTCAACAGTCTGTTTGCACAGCACACACACCCAAGTATGCTAACTAACCAGCAGGTATGGAAACACCAGGAAATCTTTGTTGCATCAAATGAATAAATATAAAATGTAAGGAAAAGCAACTCTTCCTTCTTTGTTAAATGCTAACGTCAAGTGGCAAGAGAAGAAAACCAAATTTGATCTCTGTTAATGGCACACAGATTAGCCTCAGAGCTTTACTCAATATCATAGTGCAAGTAGTAGGCAAATGTTTTTTGTTATTTTTTGACAATGACCAAACT